TATGCTCACTCCGAGAACTCGTGGGAGCTGATTGAGCGGCCCCTGATAGACGCCCGAAGGCTGTCGCAATCTAGGAACAGAAGCGGCGGCAGCTTCATTAGTAGTCCGAAGCTTCTTGCCCGAACAGGGTTCGAACGTTGACGATACTCCGTTTCCATTCCTACATGGCGCCAGTATCGATCATCAGTGGAGCCACCATTCCTATATGGCGTCAGTATCGATCATCAGTGGAGCCACCAAAGGAGAGACGTGTCTCCCGCTGCCTCCTATCGACGGCAACGCCACCAATCTGAGCAATAAAGTGTCTCTACTCGAAGGCTCCATCGTCATCTGGACCAAACAGATCAAAAATGTGCTCAAACAAGACCCCGAGGATTTACTCAAGTAAGGGCTCCACCCAACTCCCGATGCCGAGATTGAGTTCTGGAAGCTCAAAGCTGCCAATCTCAACTCTATTTTCGACCAGCTTCAGTCCAAGAAAGTGCGCAAGATCCTCACAGCTTTGGATCGTACGTATTGCACCACGTTTGCTCGACTGTGTAAGGGAGTCTTCACGGCTCGTATCGAGGCTAATGACAACATGAAGTATCTGCGTACGCTGGAGGAATGGTTCATTCGCCTCAACAACGACTAAGACTTTCCAGCTCTTACGGAGCTCTTCAAGCCGATGCTTCACATTATTCTCTTGATATGGAAGAACGCCAAACTACAACACTCCGGCTCGTCTCGTGGTGCTCATGCGGGAGATCTGCAACTCACTCATTAACCAAGCACGGAAATATCTGAGTGGCGAGTTGATATTTGCTCTTATTGACCAAGATGAAGCTGTACAAGCTGTAGAGCAATTCAAGACGACTCTACAAGTGTATCCGCACTATTAGCCGCGCGCTTCAGAATGTCCCTTGGCAGCATGCGCTTGCTGACCAAGTGGTCGAACGGTAGACGAAGATCACGCTGGTCCAAGATGCGGGACAGCATCTGTTTTTTTTCATGGCGTTCCCGTAACTCCGAGGGCGAGTACTTGAGAGACGCAACCCACGCCCAGACCATGTCCTCACACGAGCTCCAGTTGGGACAGTTCCTGGGAAGATTCCAAGGGTAGCCCCAGAGAGAGTAGTTACCACCCAGAGTAGTCACCACCCCGATTCTCGGGTTTTATACGACAGGTCGTGAAGACCTTCAGAGGGATTCGGTGCGCCGCGAGAAGCATGCACCAGGCCGCCTTCAAGTTGTCGGCGAACAGCGGCTCTTTCAGGATCTGGGAGCGCTCATAAACGCCTTTAGAAGTGTGACCACCGATAAGGTCAGGAGGGGTGACAGGGAACTCCAGAAAAAGGTCAGCCCCAGAGCTCTCCTCGGGAGGCCAATATCCTCTTGAGTTGATGGCAGCTCCCTGGTTGGCGGGTGTCACCACCGGACCCCCGCGCATGCGCTGGGCAGCTTGGAAGTCCTCCAGCTGCTGATCGAGGTCGTTCGTGATCTACCGGGGCTCATGGATAGCACTCTCCTCTTCCTCTTCATCCGAGGAGCCGAAGAGGTTCCGATTGGAGTACCCAGTCTCCTTCTCCTCGCAGAGTGGAGATTTCGAAGCCGTGCGCTTCTTAGAGGGCTTGGCGCCGTCGGGCTTGACGGGCTTGGGACGCGCAAGACCCTCGGCGAGCAAGCGATGTTTGAGCGATTTCTCCCCCTCGTCGCCAGTTTTGGGAGAGCCCTTAGCCTTGACGGCAGGACTCTCATAGCGTACAGACGTCCTGGGGCTGTGATCACCGTGGTCACTAGCGCGCGAGTGCACGCTGTCGTAGTCGTGCTCGCTGGGCACTGGAGTGTGCCATCCAACGGAGCCCACAGGGGCATCGTGAGTGATCCCGGACTCGGCCTCGTTCTCAGTGCCCGAATTGAACTCACGTTCAGCGAGCCGCGAGTTCGGATGGTTATGTGGTGAGACGGAAGGTGACGGGCTGTGGCGCTTGCTTGTACGCTTGCTCGCAGCCGCGTCTCCAAATGCGCTGATCGTCTCCGAGGCCATCTTAGAATCATCCTAAAGTGCAGAGCCTTTGCCGTGAGGCTTAGTGCTCCTGGCTTGCGCCTTTCTGGCGCTTTGGAGCGTGTTTTCGCACCACTCTTTACTGTGCCACGGGTCATGCTAAAGGTCGATGTGGGGACCGAGAAGAAGAGCGCTCAACCGCAGCTCGAGGCTCTAACTGTAAAGTGAGCCTCCACCGCGCTCGCGCAGCCAAGTCGATGTATTTCGACTTTGACATTGACGTACACTTCTTCATTCTGATTGGTCGGTAAACCGAACCTAAGTGTGGGAGGATGTAACGGAGTACGTAGCTCCAAGTGTACCCTTAGTTACATGAAATGTGACACGTCACACTTCGGGATATCCGGTACGTGGTACCAGGATTGTCCGAGGCCAACCATTGGCTAGTGACATTGCTTTTGTAAAGTTGACTCATAGTTTGCTAATATAACTCAAGATTAGCCTACCTATAAATATATTTAGCTTACAACTTCCCTTAAATTGGTCACTTCGCTCCCTTATGCAAAAAGGGACCTGTGAACTGCCGTTCACTGAGAGTTTGTAAGCTCTCGGAAGCCAACTTCCTCTAGCGCAAGGTGCTGTGTGACACCGTCACACCATCTCAGCTAGATAGACAGGGTGTTTGGTGGAAAAATGGAATAGGAGGTTGGAGTAACCGGTTGCGGGGCCTGCTTACGAGCTTCATTGCAAACTTTGCAGGTGTAGCCGTCGTCGGGACCATCTCCAAAAACGAAAGCACAGATTTCATCACTGAACGGCATCGTGGAAATGTGAGAGGCGAACAGAGGCTTGTTGCTTGGTGTCGTAGAGCTAGTAAATAACAGAATGACATGAATCAATAGAGAAACCACGTTTTTACTGCCCTGATAGTACTTGAGAGGTGATCAGCTGCATACGGCTGTCTAGACTTCACTATTACTTATTTGGGGTACTTTATTGGGAATTTAAATTTTCTATTTTTTTTTAAGCAAACTGCGCTAATAATAAATAGTGTTCTTATTATTGCCGTCAAAGTTATTTTTTCGATTTTTGAATAGCGCTACTGCAAACCTAACCAAAACTGGTTTCTTACAAGCAAGCAGATCGCGGAAATTAAGCAAACCTTTTGTTCGATATGATGTTTTAGACATTTGACAAAACAACTCATCTGTTCACGAATTTGGCATGTGTGAAAACACCATGACTCTCCAACAAATCACGCTTTCAGGACAAGTATAATTTGATCCTGTTACGGAGGCTAAAAAATGAAGAGTGCGCGTAGGTAAGCACGGCGAGCTTCAAAGGTCATCTTCATAACGTTTCAAAGAGGTCTGACGTCATGCAAGAAAACTGCACTGTAAGCAGTCCTGGCTGTCAGAGTTGGATACAAGTAGCGACTCCAAGAATCAAGTGAAGGAAATCCCTTTTTGTAGATAAAGCAGCAAGAATTTCATCGGCAAAATGAAATGTTAATTGTATACAGGTCGGGATAAATATATTTTAGAAAGTGACTTTTAAATAGTATTTCATTTTGAAAAAGCAATCAAGTCATCTATAATTCTAGTACTTTTTAGCTTAGAAAGAAGAAAAAGATTATTCTGCGCTGAAAGGTAAACAAAAAGCAATGATGCTTTGCAGGTACTGCACTTTCAACAACTCCACAAGTAAAGGCTACGCCACTTTTGATTTCGGAACTCAGGCATGACTTGGGCAAAACTGTGCTCCATTGCCGCACTGTTTACTCTACACGTAATAATGGTGTCTGCAGACGCAGCTTCACTAACCGACGCACCGTCCGTAAAACTCCATGTCACTTCTGTTAGAATGAACGCTGTAGAGTAGCTCTCAAAACAGTTTATTTACTTTTACTCTTAACTACTTATTCTCTACTCTAGACTTGTGCTCAGTCTGAGGCAGAAGAAGAAGTGAGCTCGTCCTCGGACTGCGTCCTCGGACGGCATCTCTCCCTTCTGCCTTCAAGTCCTCATCGCACTGGTTGGCAGACAGCCTCTGCCTGCTGGTGCCAGGGGTTAATGGTAACTCCAAAATCGGTGAAGTTAATATTGTGAAAATATCACCTGTAGACCAGTTAATATAAAAAATATCACCTAATATTTTCTTTTGAGACAATATGATATTATTAAATATCAACTTAATATTAGTTAATACGATATTATATTTTTCAATGATTGCGTAATCGGGCTACATTAACTAATCAGATGTCGTTAACGCTCGACTAGCTGAAGTATTACTAATCAACCGTGAGTACCGGGACAATTGTGAGTGACGGCAAGGTTGGCGTTGTGTGTTGGCACTGCTGAGCGCATTAATCTAGCGCCACAGGCAGCAGGTTTATTAGACGCACGATGTCGACGAGGAGATCGGAAGAGAACAAGAACAAATGTCTTGATTTCGCTCTATCAACGTTAAACAGCTGCAAGCGTTTGCAGTTTTCCATCTCGATCGCCTTTGTCTGTGTCACAGTGAAATACTAGAGCAAATACTCGTCAGTCTTAAAGCCTACTGCTTTTCTAGAACCTGATCGAAAAAGTTATTTGGCTCCGCTCGGTTCACAGGGCAAGAAACGTACTTAAGTGGGAAAATATCATAAAATATCATGTAGTATCTAATATTTTTCAGTTCTCCGAGCTAATATAAAAATATTATGTTAGCTTTTGCAAAAATGAGTTACTATTAATATTTAATATCGAAAATAGTACTATTACTATCAAAAATATCATATGATATTTGGTTACCATTAGCCCCTGGCTGGTGCACTCTATCCAAGTGCTCGTAGGATCAAGTACTTACTATTGCTTTAATGAAAGTAAGTCTTTTATTGTGTTGACACACTTAATTCTGTCCAGCATCTGTCTGGCCTCTACCGACTCTTCGCCGCCTTCGGCGACTCGGCGTCTGATCGCCATGCTGGCCAATAACTTCCACACGGGCAGTCTGAATTCGACATTTTCGCCAACCCAGTCGTGTCAGCAAATGGTGTTGCTGTGTTGTACGATGGCTACGCGACTTTTAAGGAGGAAGGCAACATCTTCACTTATTCCTACGTGAACGGGGTCGGCTACTTGTCAACGAATGGAGATAAGGAAAACATCCAGTGTGTTCCATCATCTACGTTTCCATTTAACGCCATCCTACCTGCACTGAACGATGCGACGCCCAATTCAAGTGCGTCAATCGGCGACGAAGCGGTCGAGTGCGCGAGTGGAAACCTGTTTAAAACAACGTTTGCTGGAGTCCACTTTGCTATCTGCGTGACAGGCGAGTCTGAATTTATTGCATACAGCACGATCGACGTCGAGTATTTGGAGAAACCTGTAAAGATTCCGAGGACAGAAGAAGCCACTTGTACTGCCGTGGCTACACTGACATCTTTGACTCCAACAGCGTTAGCACTTATAACTGGAGGGATCATCCCGACGTGTATTAATAACACGAGACTGCTCAAGGTTGCAGAGCACATGTCGATGGAAGCGTCTTCGTGTAAGTGTAAGTCTACGCCTCGTCCGTGCATCTTCTTCCACGGAATTGGCAACTCGCACAAATAAAGCGGGCGGTAGGATGGGGAACATGAACAGACACGCTCCTTGCTGTTCTACCGTGAAGTACGCCATCTTGAACACCATGGACAACAGCTGGACAAACGACACTTTGCAAAACAAATTCTGCGACCGAGCACTCCGATTTAGCGACATCAGTCACGTGAAAGCAGGGAGAATTACAGACACTGTTATCATCACACATTCGATGGCTGGACTTGTCATGTCGATGGCCATGGCAACCGGTAAATGCAATTTCGGTAAAGGCTCGACATGGGTGGCTTTGAGTTCTCCTATGACTGGCAGTATGGCTTCGGACTATTTCCAAGACTTTTGCAGCGACGAAGTCAGCGAAATGGCTACAAATTTATTGGATCTCATGGGCCAATGCCCCATGCCGAAAGCTCGACAATCTATTATGTATCAGAACGACAAGTACGCGTCCAAGAAGCTCAATGCAGCGTATGTTACCGCTCAAAAGGCGTACCGAGAGAACGTTGATGCTGCAATGTGCAGTGACAATCCTCGCGGTGTAATCTCCTTGTACCAGTCCATGATGCTTGTGGCTGCAGACGTTATCCCACACAAGTCGCCACAGAACGACGGTCTCGTGGAGTTCCAGAGCTGTGCTAAAGGTCTGGAAAAGTCCAAGTTTGGCTCGAGCTACAAGGATACGTTCTACAAACCGCAACTGAACCACGCAGACACAGTATTCCTGACGAGCGACGGGTGGTTCAAGGATTCCCAGAAGCCAGCGAAATGGTTCGAATGCTTGTTGTAGAATACAATACATGAAATTCTGTAGTCGTTGCTGCTCAATTGTTTTATATATTTCCAAC